GAGAGAGAGAGAGAGGGAGAGGAGCTATCCAGTACTTGCTCTGTCTCTGGGGGTGTTCTTTCTTTGGGCTGACGCGCTCGGGGCTCCCCATCCTGCGGTGCCTGTACGCGTCAGCGTTTCGTTACTGCAGCAGACCCCCGGGGACAGGCTGACCTCATAAAGAGGCTCATTTAGCTCTCAGTTCTGAACACTCGAGGGCACAGTGCTGGCCTCTGCTCAGCTCTGGTGAGGACCTCATGGCCTCCTGGTGGACGTGCCTGAGGGAGGAAGAGGACACATCTCCAAGCAGGAAGCCAGAGAGCGAGTCGGAGATGGAGCTCGGGCTCTGACAGCACCTGGATCCTGTGAGAGCCAGACCACAGCCGGGCAGCGTTCCCTGAGAGGGCCTGCACCCAGGGGGCAGCCCCCAACACGTGAGCCTTGGCCGGACACTCTCAGACCTTGTCCCACCCACAGGAGCACCTCGTCCGGGCAAGGCCTGAGCCCCCCGGAAGCACAGGCCCCCTCCACGCACACGTGCTCCTCTCTGGCCTGCTGCTGGGTTCAACCCTCATCAGAGCCTGGGAGACTTGCAGAGGACCAGAGTGTGGTGAGGGTGGGGGGAGCCGGCCACTCTCCTCACCTCCAGTCCCTGGGGGGTCTGAACAGGGGGAAGCCGACCTGGCAGTGGGCACGCACCCCATCCCATATGTCCCCCTGCTGGCAGGCCCGGGTGGCCCGTCATTGTACCCCTGCCCTCCTGCCCCCCGGAGTAATAAAATGTCCCATCCGCTGAGTCCTCCACGTTCTTTCTTTGGAGATGGGAAACCGCACGCTGGGCCTCTGCAGCCCGGAGAGGAACACCTGTGTGTGGAGCAAGGAATTGCTCTGCATTTGCTGCCCGCACCCCTCTGTCCCTCCTGCCTGTCCCTGGGGTCCATGGTCCTTGCCCAGAAGCCTGCATCTCAGCCAGGCTCTGTCCTGGTCCCCCAGGATAAGACGCAGGGGTTTCATCCTCCCCTTGGCTTTTTGACCATGAGGACACGCAGGTCCCTGGGAGGAAAGCCCAGTTTGCAGACCTCGTTCAGGGTGGGGTGTCCTGGGAGAAGCAGGCACCTCGCCCAGCCTCTGGTTTTCCTTGGAGCTGGCTTTCCCTCTACAGCCATTTCTCTCTCTCCTTCCTTTTCTTCCCCTTCTCTCCCCTCCCCTGGCTTTCAAAATCGGCTCTCGGGCGCTCGCTGGGCTGCTGATATTTAGACATGCAGATCTTGGCTGCTGTTTTGCATGCATGTTTGACCTTGGGTAGAGCTGCTCGCAGCAGGATGGATGTGTCCTGGCTGCATTTAATCACCAGAGCAGCCCAAGCCTGGAGAAACCTCGGAGACCCAGTTCCCCACCCCCCACCCCCTGCCTCGAGATGGTAATGAACTTCTGAGAAATAGCTAATCAATAAATTGAACAAATAACTCGGGCAGCTAACCCCTTCTGCCAGGACCTTAATTACAATTGCAGAAATAAATTGGGGGGTAGGGAGTGATAGCTGGGAGCTGTGTGGGTGGAGGTATCCTTAACCCCTGATTTCCTGGTGGGACAGGGGGTGAAGTAGGGTCCTCCTCTCCAGGGAGGGAGTATGGGGTTTAAGAGGCCGGCATTTCTGGGGAGGGATAAGAGAAAGGAGAGGGCACTTCTGCCTGGCTTTCTCCTGTATACAGCTGGGGTATGGACAGCTTTCCCATGGGTAAGATCTGGTGCCCAGAGACTCCAAGTGCCCCCCTGAGGCCCCTGGTTTGGAACGGCTGCCCCTAAAACCTTTTGGGTCACAAAATGGTGTCTGTGAGTCTCTCTGCTGTGCCCCTGGAGGCGGCAAGTAGCAGAGGGGAGTCTGCAGCTTGTGGAGCCGGACAGGCTGGATTCCCCTGTGCTGGGAGACCTCAGGTGAAGTCCGTCTGTCTCTGAGCTGCTGTTTCTGAATCTCCATTGGGAATCCTAACCTGGCTCTCGGGCGGGATGGAGAACTGAAGGTCAATATTGCAGAGGCCGTCCCAGACCTGGAGGAGAGTCTCTAGAGACAGGCTGTGGGGTTGGTCTGCCGGGGGGCCCTACCTGCCTGGGCTTCCCAGCTGCCCTCCAGCCCTCTGCACCCCGACTGCAGTTCCTGCTTCGGATGCTCCTGTGGCTCAACAGAGGCTGGGGGTAGGGCAGGGCTCCAGCTTCCTCTCATTGGGAATCCTGGCCAGCTCCACACTGGACAGGCCCAGCCAGGGTGGAAAGCGACAGTGGCCTCCAGGCCCATCTCAACAGAAGGATGAAGACACTATGTTGAAAGCCGTAGGTACCTGTCAGCTGTAAGACAGTGATTATAGCAGCCTCCCCCAGGCCACCACCCCCCAGAGGTCTCTGCAGCTCCAAGGGCTGCCATTTACCCACCCAAGACAGGAGGGTTCTTCTGGGCTGTCCACTGGCCAACTGACCCACCAGGAAGGTGCCGGAGTGGGGAGAAGGCGAAGCCTGGCCGTTCCGCGCTCCCCTTCTCCCAGCGGACAGTGCCACTGTGAAACGACCATGTAAGAACTATTGGACTGTTGCCAAAAAATTAAAATTCAGTTGAGCAAAGAGAAAACTAAATTAAATGTAAATCATTCCAGAGCCCCACCGCCCAGAAGAGACTGCTAACGCCACAGACTGCGTTCTGCTCTAGTTTCCTCGGGGGGCTTTCCTGCTGCCAGCTTTAGGATCAGAGGAGGGGAGGAGGTGTGTGAGTGTGTGTTTGTGTGTGCATGTGTATGTGTATGTGTGTGTGTGCGTGTGTGCATGTGCATATGTGCGCGTGTGCATGTGTGTGCGCATGTGTGTGCATGTGCATGTGTGTCTCTGTGTGTGCATGTGTGTATGTTTGTGTGCATGTGTGTGCGTGTGCGTGTGTGTGCATGTGTGTGTGCATGTGTGTGTGTGCATGTGTGCATGTGTGTGTGTTTGCATGCGTGTGTGCGTGTTTGTGTGCATGTGTGCGTGTGTGTGTGTGGCACAGGCAGCAGAAGAAGCAAGATGCTCCACGCTGGGCGATGGCAAGCCGCCTGCCTTGGGGCGGAATTTTCCATGGCAGTAAATATATCTCCTCCGAGAGGCGACAGGCGCAGGAGGACATGAGTGAGATGCCAGCGTCAGGCGGAGTATACTGCACGGATAGAATATTTACAGCTCCATCTGTGGTGTGGTTCCTCCAGACCCCATGAAGGTCACTGGAATGTCAGGAAATTTACGGGGGTGTCAGAGCACATTCGGGCCTGTTCGTGCAGCGTCAGGAGCCCGTACCTCGCCACCAGGGCACAGAGACACCTACAGCAGGAAGGCAGGGAGCAGCTGGCTGGCCTCAGCCCCCCCCCCCCCCCCGCGCTGCTCACGCTGGTGCACACGCTATTTGTCTGTGAGCACGCGCAGCATATGTTACTCCAGGCAGGGGAGGGAGGGTACAGGGTGCAGAAGGGAGAACAATTAGAGAAATCATGAATCACAACGCACGCTGTTTCTGCTTCTGTGAGGGCTAATTATTTCTCGGTTGTGCATGGGAGACGCTGCACTCATTAAGGCCTGTATGGTCCCAGGCAGGCAGAGTCCTGGATTCTAGAAACCTCGCAATGAGCTGGACGCCCCAGAGCGGGCAAAACCCATTGTCGTCCCTCGCAGTTCAGAAGCCAAGGCCGGGAGAATTTTTGTTCAATGTGTTGCGTGTTATTAGAATTTTCTAAAAATGACCAGTGGCTGTGACCGTGTGCCTTTCAGAGGGGAGCTGAGCTTGGCTCATCTCCAGGGGATCCCTCATAACCCTCTGCACTTGGCTCCTTGCGGGTGGCCGCGCACCTCCTGTAACACGCATGTCTGCCTCGCTAGCTCACTTGAGATGGGTTCCTCTGCTGGAGCGTTGGTTGCATCCTCTCGAATTCAGAGCCTGTGTGTCATCTTTCACTCGCCCCAAACTCTCTGCAGAGGGCCTCTTAACTCTCAAGCCTGGGACGCAGACAGTGACTGGCCCCTCTGGCCGGCTTCTCACACCAGCTCCGCCCTGGTGTGCCCCCCCGCCCCCCCACCCCGCCGCAGGCTCCCCCCACAACCCCCTCCTCTCTGTCCAGCCTCAGCTGCACTCTCTGTAAAGCGTGCTGTGAAATTCAGTGGGCGCCCAGGGTTCTGGGCTGTCCTGTCTCTCGGGGGAAAGCGGCGCAGCCTGAGAAGCAGGCTCCAGGGTTGAGCCTGAAGCTCACGATCTCGGGGGAAGCCCTGGGGCCTGGGTGGTGGCAAGCCACCGTCCTGGAGCCAGAATCGTCCATGAAGGAGTTTGGAGATGCTAAGACCCGAGAAGAGAAAGGACACAGGTGCACCAACAGGCAACAGAGGAGGCTTGACTCTGCAGTAGGAGGAGACCCTGGGCGCCGCAGAGACCATGGAGCCAGGGGACCGGAGAATCATCGGGGGCTAATGCTCGAGGGTGGGAGGGCGGAAGAACGATCAGGAGCGGGTGTCCACACTCTATGGCTCCAACCTCTCCCCACAAATTACCTCCTAATTATGAAGACAAACGAGAACCTGCAGGCTGGGAAGACCCGGCCAGCCGCCCTCACCAAGGCATCAGGACCAGCCCCACCAGGCGGGGACAAAGTAGCCACTTGCACCTCCTAGACCAGGTGCCGAGGAGGACACTGGTTGCTTCTGTGACGTCCCAACAACAACAACAACAACAACAACAACAACAACAACAACACTCCTAACGTAGCATCAGAGAAGCCTGTGTTGAGGAAGATTCCACAAAATCATGTCTGCGTTTTTCAGAAATATTGTGGTAAAGAAGGATGCAAAGCTGGAAGCCGCTCATGTGCGCCAGGAGCAGAGACGTCCCAGTCGAGTGCGTTGGCCAGCCCAGGTCAGGCTCGGGACCAGGCGGCTTGTGGTGACAGGGACTCGACTTGGACAATCGATGGCATTTGAATGTGGATGTGGATTCAGTGATAATGTGTTAATCGTAGTGAATTTCCTCATTTTGGTCATCAGATGTGGTTCTGTGAGAGGCTGTTTTTATTCTCAGGAAAACGCACGCTGAAGTATCCAGAGGTGGAGCATGAGGTCTCCAACCAGGCCCACAAGGTACAGGCAGAAAATAATAACGCGCCCAAAGAAGAGGAAGTCAGTATCAAGGCACAGAACGTGGTGACTGGTGGAGGGTGGGTGGGAGGTCCTGCAGCTGCTCACTGTGGCTTGGACAAGTGTCCCCAAGGCTGTGTGCCAAGGGCTGGGTCTCTGGCCTGGGGTGCTGGTGGGAGGTGGTGGAAACCTTCGGTAAGAGGT